ACTGTTGGCGTCCACAAAATCGTTTGTTTTCACTTTAGTTGTGATAGTTCTACCATTACCATCGGACGATCCACGTTATACAGTGGATAACCATCGTTGCCTATGATGGTCTCTGCCGTCATTTTTCGTGGATACGGCTTGAAGCACTTGCCGTTGACCATGCACAGTGATTGGCGGTTGATGGTGCCACACGGCCCATGAATCATATTCTTGATTACAACATCATGTAGGTCTGGGTCGGTTTCAGGATCAGGAATCTCCGCACATATGATGTCATCTATTTGATCTGTCCGAATTCTTTCGACTAACCAAATTAGAATGTGTGCATGTGGCAAGCCTCGTTATTGCAAACAAATCTAAAGAGTACCTGAACTTTCGAGACAGAGACAATAGTTTAGATAATAGACTATTACTTTGGATAGTGCACTTTTTAACCTTGGTAATAAATCTTTAAAAAATTATAAACAACATAAAAAGACATTTACGTTTTTATTAACCTATAAAATAATTTTAGAAATTGTTTTCGGAAATACAATAGTTTAAATCATAGATTACTACTTTGGATAATGCACTTTTTAACCTTAGTAATTATTAGTCTTAGAAAAATCACAGACAACATAAAAAGACATTTACTTTTTCGTTAACGTATAAAATAAATCTTAGAAATAGTTTTCGAATAAACTTTAATTCGTATAAACTTTAATTTACACAAAATAAATTTATGAACGCACGCGTAAACGTTAATCATTTGTCATTATTTCTAAACGCATGTCAACCATTACTTATAGTATTTGACATGATGGACAACAAATGTTTGGCAGGTACGAAACTAAGTAACATTTAGGGAAAATGATTCAACTTTTATAATTATGTTCTCGTCGAGTTTTTATTATTTTTAAGATGTATTCTGCTATTCGGGGCGGGGACAAATCCAACGAACCAAATCCATGAAAATTGGTCTAGCCGATCTCGAGTTATAAGTGTTGTAACAAACCCGACTTTGTTTTATATATATAGATTAGTTTATAATAATTAATATAATTTGTGATAACTGAAACACCATAAATTTGTACAACAAGTTGTTTTATAACGGTTTCGTTCCCGGTTTACTTAAATGTTTAAGTCCTTATTTCAGTCCGCCGGTCCCAGTCGTGCACTTTGGCTGATGCCTCGCCAAGGATGACATGATGCGCGACTCTCTCATTTTCAATTTTTCTGTCATTTTCTTTCCCTGATTATTAAGATTAGGGAATTTTGAACAGCTGATATTAAAAAAGGCGGGATGGCAGAAATAAACCCTCTAAAAATAGCTAACAAAAGCAGTGCGAAACAAAATTACAAGAAACGACACAAATACTTTTGAATTACGTGCAACTAAAGTTTTTTATGCTAATTAATTTTAAAACGTTAATCATAAAACCATGATATTATATTATGACTTGTATTGTTTCTTTGTTATAATTTTTTTATTTATGTACATATATTTTTTTTTTTTGTTATATGATGTTTTAAAAATTTTATTATATGAATATACGTATTTAGGGATGTATATGCGTTATAAAGGTCTACTCGGGAACCGAGCACCTAAAAATAATATCGAAATGCAAAATACCAAAAAGTTATTTTTAAAATACCCAGTCCATTTTCTTTCGACAGTGGCATGATTGACAAATGTTATAAAAAATGTTAAAACCCGGTTACACAGCTCTCTCTCGAATAAAAAAGTTTCGCATCATTTCATTCTTGGCCTCGCTACCAGAGAACGTATATCATAGAGAAGGTTCATGGTGTGCCGATTGTCAAAATGTTCCTCTTGACGGAGGGTTACTCGCCAACATTAGTGCATTTCACCACAAACAAATTATAAGCTGATTTCACCAGAATTTTACCCCTGCGGAGCGCAAAATAGCAGAATTGAGCATTTTGAATGTTAAATGAGAAAAATAATGCTAAATTTAATGTTAAGAAATGTACGCTTACAAATTCGTATATTTACAATGCGCAAACGACTTTGCATATAATTTTAAGATATTCTGCATATACAGGGCGGCTCACGAATCGTGCTACAAAAATTAACCGTATTAAGTTTCTTTTTTATCAATTTTTGTTGTATTGTATAGAAAATTTTAATTTTATTTTATACAATTAATTATTCCTCCATGCTTGGTCACGCATATGCGACACCTAATTAGCAAATTAATGCGGGCTGGAGGGTTCAAGTCGGGATTGCCTCAAATATCTATTTAATGGACTGCTGCAGTTCAGTCAGATTTCTGGGTTTGATTTTGTACTCCTCTTGCTTGACATAACCCCATAAGAAAAGACCAAGCGGTCGCAAATATTCTTATACATATATATGTAAGTATATGTATAATTATGTGTGCATGTAAACAAATATGAAAGTACCCATTATAATTGTTAATTTGTCTATATGCAACGTATGTGTGTAAATATGTACATTCATTGTTTCATGGGAAATCTCCGTTGCCACGGACAACCAATGGCCGAAGCTCACGTCTTTTGTTTTCTTGTCAAAGAGTCACTGTGTCGAAGGACTGACGCGACGACAAAGCGTCACAACATTGTGTTGTTGGTAGAAAATCCGAGCTGTGCCGAAAAAATATTAACGAACGGCCGCCGATTGTCACCGCTTCCCTTGCCGCTCTAACAGCTTTGCCCACAAATCATCGTAAATATGTATGTTTATATATGAGCATGCATACATATTGACGCAGATTTTTATGAGACACGGAAAAATATTTTAAAATTGTAAATTTAAATTGTAAAATATTTTAAATCGACAAAAGCTTTGTTGCCAGTTTTGTCAATTTTTTCTGTGTTTTGTGGGCGTGCGTGGTTGCAACTTTTCCCTTCCAGAGGGAATATCAGAAATTTGTTCAATTTATGATTTTTAGCTTTTGCCATCGTCGTGAAAAGACGCTTGTAGACAAAAGCATGCTCGGGGAGATGTGAGGGTGTCTGTTTTTATGAATAAAGCGAGGTTGCTTGTTAAAAGTACGCCTGCGTTCATGAATGAAAATGTTGTTGTTGAATATTTTACTATAAACTTGTGACGATTGTTGTTTTTGTAGAACAATGTTTGTAGTTTTTGCGGGTGACATATTAACATGTGTACGCATATACATATGTATGTATGTTGGTGTGTGTATGCATTATTTGTTCGGAAATTTTATGTATAAATACATATATGCGTGTACATATAAATCAATGCGCGCACATATAGTGTATTGATAAGTGATAAAATCATGATTTGAATTTCTGAATGCGTACATTCAAATACATACGTACATACATATGACTATATAAGATTAATATGATAAAAGATGTATATACATACATATATTGTAATAAATTTAATCTCTATTATTATAATATAAACTATTTAGTATGAATGTATATTAGGTAAAAACTAAATAAAATTATTAAATGCCCAAATTGACTATAAATATTATTTCGAAATTCCATAATTTCAGTTTTGCATGCATTCATAAAAATTCGCAAAATGATATTCATATCAATAAATATGATTGCATATAAACGTATAAGAATATAAGCCAAAAGGCTAACATGCAGCTGTAATATCAAAGCAAGTCTCTGAGAATAATTTTCATTGAATTCTCAGCTCTGTTCACTCTTCACTGTTAAAATTCCTCCTTCCGAGCCAGATTTGGTGAAATTCACTAATAAAATCTTGTTAGGTTTTGACAATTCACACGCTGGTCCGCAATTGAACCTTCTCTATGATATACGTTCTCTGTCGCTACTCACTGTCTAGCCAATGTAATTTTTGTCGTGTTACTCGTTTTACTTTCGATTCATCAGGGTTGTATTTTTTTGTACGTTAGTTGGTCTGTCCACTACATGTTCGGTGTCCATGCGATTCCACATACATACAATTAAGTATATAAGTATAAACAAATGTAATTACTCCCTGTACTTATCTATATATAATATATAAAAATTAAACCCGTTTCCCGTTATCACGCCATAACTTGAGAACGACTAGACCGATTTGGCTGATGTTTATTTTTGTAGTTTTCTAATACTCTGTAGAAGGTTCTTACGGAAAAAAATATTAAGAAAATGTCTCAAAAAGATTAAAAAAATACATTTAATTTTGCATATTTTAAAAAACGCGCGTAACGAATGTCATCGTCATTCACAGCCATAGACTATATTGAAAGAGCATCGTTTGTTCGGAAATGTGGTTACTTATTTAAATTCTATCGCACTAATTTACTAATTTTTGAAAATTACTCGCCACAATTAAATGTACCGACTTTGACGGTAATATTAATAATACCAGTGATGAATTTATTTTAATGTAACTATTTAATAATAATAAAATATGTATACTATAAGTTAGATTTCAGAACGCAGTATACAAACTTCGCATAACCTATTTAGTAATCTGTGGTAATCTGACACACATAGCCTAACATAGCGCAAACAATAATTTTATTAAGTTTTTGATAAAGTTTGTTTTGTTTTAAAGACTAAGAAGTTTGTTGTTTGCTAATAAGTGTTTGTTAATCACGGTAAGTTCACAGCTTAATATCGATTTTAAGTAACTTTTGATGACTACACAATATTAAAATTTTGTATACCTGGTTAAACAGAAAATATAAGGGAGCAATTTTTTATTTTCAGTTGGATTTTCGTTTTTAAAAATGCCACCAAGCAGACGTACAAACTTAGACCGCAGAACTCGAAATACTGCAAGTCAAAGATATATAAGAGCAAATCAAACAATTTTACTGTATTTAATAGTATGTAATTAATGTATACCTTAGCCACAGCAACGCGCGGACACAAAAAATTTATTTATTATTTGAATTTTGTGCTTTATTATATAATAAATTTAAATTAATTGTTTATGGCATCGCGATTTTATAAACAAACTAGCATGCCCAATTTATTTATTTCTTAGTTTTGTATATTCACTATATCCTGTGCAGTATAATTCAACATGAAAGATAACTTGAAATTGTATCTCTGAAAACCTTAAATTACAAAAACAAAATGTAAAGGATAGTTATGTAGGTTAGGAAGTATTTATAAGAACTTATGTAAAATATGTTCTTCGAAACAGTAACAAATTTCAAATTAATTTCAAAATAAATAGTTTTTGGTAATATTCGTAAGAAGAAAGAAATGGATGGTACCAAAACGTAACAAATGTGTTCAGCCGAACTATCCTTTATGAATCTTCATTCAGATATGTACTATATATAAAGAAATAAATTCAATGTTAAAACATTATCTAGTTGATCAAATTGTGAATCTAAACCATTATCTAACCTCCTTGAATACACACAAAAAATTTCATCAGAATCGGTCCAGCCGTTTAGAAAGAGCTCAATTACAAACACACGTACAGAAGATTTATTAACAATAAAAATTATTGATATTGTGGCGAACACGAGTACCAGAACAAATCAGAATTGACGATAAACGAATTCGTAGTTGCCAGGATGTTCTAGTAGCGAACTTTTGTTAAAAATTTACTATATAAGGGCTGCCGGATTGTGCAGCAAACACAGTTCTAATTAGAGTGTTGCCGTGTAAAGAGCAATTAAGCTATAAGCAATAAGTTGTAAGTTCGAATAGCGAGCAATAAGTGTTAAGTTGTTGGAAATAAAAGTAAAGATAAGTGTATAGCCATTGATTTGGGACTTTAATTTAACAATCTAGTGATCGAACTAAAGAGTTAGTTACAGGTAGACGATTTATCTAGAAACCCGTTACAATTGGTGTCAGAAGTAAGATTGTCAAATAAAATCCCAAGGAGATAATTATTTGAAAATGACCAAGTTTAACGATTTGAAGATTCCACAACTGAAAAAGGAACTGGAGCAACGCGGTTTGGCGACAAATGGATTAAAAACTGAATTACAATCACGGTTGAGAGAGGCCATGGAGGCGGAAAACATTAAGGTTGGGGAATATGTCTTTCACATGGAATTAGAGGAAGAGACAACAAAAATGGAAGAAAAGAAGAGGCTCAATGCTCGTCAAAGATTGTGGACATAAACATGATTTTTGCTGCAATATCGCAGATGGGGAAAGAGATGTCAACGCAAATGTCGACACAATTTAAAGAGCAGGATACACGCATGTCTCAAATGTCAACGCAAATATCAACAGAAATATCGACACAATTTAAAGAGCAGGATGCACGTATAACCCAAAAAATAGCAGAGGTGTCATCACAAATGTTGATACAACAATCCCAATTGTCCTCGTTAGAAACGAGGTTGGAAGAGCAGTTCACAGCGCAAAATTCACGTATATCAGCACAGGTGTCCTCACAGTTAGAAGATCAGTTCACAGCGCAAGATGCACGTATATCAGCACAGGTGACCTCACAAATAGCAGAAACGTCCTCACAGATTTCGGAAGAGCGGGATAAAATTAAAACTGAAATGAATGAATTAAAAGATTGTCTCCGCGAGCTACAATTAAATCGGCCAATTGTGTCAACAGCTTCTGCCAAGGTAAAACCTCCATCCTTTGATGGCACTGTTCCGTTCCACGTTTTTAAGCTTCAATTCGAAAAGACGGCATCTTCAAATAATTGGAACGCTGAAGATAAAATAGCTGCATTGTTCGTTGCATTAAAAGGATCTGCAGCAAAGATATTACAGACCATTCCAAACTGCGAGGCGAGTAGTTATGAAACGTTGATGGGTGCATTAGAAAGACGGTATGGTAGTGAGCAAAGGAAGCAGATCTTTCAAATCGAGTTGCGAAATCGCCGCCAGAAAGCCAATGAGTCTCTGCATGAGTTTTCTACAGAGATTGAGAGGTTAGCTCACTTAGCTTATGCACATAAATCCATGAAATACATCGAGGACACGAAAATTCAGACTTTCGTCAATGGAATACGAGAAAACACTACACGCTTCGCTGCATTAGCATGTCCAAAATTGACGTTTGCAGAAACCGTTTCGTATGCTCTGACACAGGAAACTGCATCTCTGCTTTGCAATCAAACATTTAAAGCTCACAAGGTAGAAATAGAGGAACACACTTGGGTGAACCAATTACTTGAAAAAATTAACAACATGCAGAAAGCACTGGAAAAATCTAAGGAAGCGCATAGGAAAAATGATGGTGTGTTTAAATGCTTCAACTGCGGGAAAAGTGGCCATATTGCACGCAACTGTAACCAGCCCAATAATCCAGTTGGACGTAAACGCAAAGCTGAGGACGATCAAGCAAATGTCAAATCAAACCAATCGTTAAACTAAAACGAGCCAGCCGAAAAGGGCACGGGCTGGCTCCCGCAAGCAAATGCCCTGTAATCTCCATTTCACAAATAAGCAGGAATACGAGTAACGTTACCGTTAGTGGATGTGTAGACGGTAAAAAGCGCATACTGACTGTGGATACGGGCGCATCAATTCGATCTGATCTGGTTGAGAAAGAAGTGAGACCGTTACCTGGGGCAAAGTTGCGTACGGCAACTGGAGAAGATACCCTAGTTCTCGGAAAGGTAACGTGCGAGATTTTAATTGGAAAGGCAGCCGTGTTACACAACTTGATAATGACAGATATCGTCGACGAAGTCATTACTGAAGTAGACTTTCCAGCGAATCAAGAAATCAAAATTGAGATGAAGGACTGAATCCATACCAATATGGAAACTCCACTTATGTGCCGTTACGCTAATAAGTACAACGTTAGACGAGTGATAACAGAGAGCCAGCAGATTCCACCAAAATCAGAAGCAGTTATTTGGGCAGAAATAGATGAAGACTATGGGTCAAAATGGTGGATTTTTGAGGCCACAAAAGAATCTACACCAAACTTACTCATAGGCAAAACCCTGGCTACGACAAGACAAGATAAACGTGTTCCAGTAAGAGTACTTCCATCATCCATATTTGATAAAGACAATGCCAAACCAGGAAATACCAAAGTTGTGAAACATTTTATTAACACAGGTGATGCAAGACCAATCCGCAAGGCTCCTCGAAGCGTTCCTTTAGCAAAACGTGAAGTTGTAAGCCAGACCATACGTGAAATGAGCGAAAGCGGTGTAATCGAACCATCAAAGAGTCCGAGGAGCTCACCTGTAGTACTTGTGAAGAAGAAAGATGGCAACATGAGATTTTGTGTGGACTATAGAAGGTTGAATGATGTAACGGAGAAAGTCAGTTATCCACTACCTAGAATCGATGATACACTGGACTCGTTATCAGGCACAAAATGGTTCTCAACACTTGATTTGAAAAGTGGTTATTGGCAAGTGGAGGTAAACCAAGAAGACAAAGAAAAGACGGCTTTCAGCGTTGGAGATGGTCTATGACAATTTACCGTGATGTCCTTTGGATTATGTAACGCACCTGCTACTTCTGAGAGACTTATGGACCAGGTACTAAAAGGATTACACTGGAAGACCTGTTTGGTATACCTCGACGATATCATCATGTTGGGTAAAAGCTTCGATGAACACCTTAAGAACTTGGAAGAGGTTTTCCAACGAATAACTAGCGCTGGTCTGAAGCTGAGTCCAAAGAAGTGTTCCCTTTTCAAAAAGCAAGTTAGCTACTTACACGAAGTGACAACGGATGGCATTTGCACAGCTGATGAAAAGATCGAGGCAGTAGGAGATTGGCCCGCTCCTAAAAATTTACATGAATTGCGGAGTTCCCTTGGACTGTGTACTTATTATAGACGATTCGTTCCACATTTTGCCAGCGTAGCTAGTAGCCTTCATGAACTCACGAAAAAGAACAGAGTTTTTGAATGGAATAAAGAACAGGAAGTGGCTTTCCAAACTCTGAAGAAACGGTTAAGTACTGCGCCAATGTTAGCATACCCTGTCCCAAGATCAACGTTTATTTTAGATACGGATGCTAGTGGATTTGCAGTAGGAGGCGTTCTATCACAAGTCATTGATGGGCATGAGAAAGTGGTTGCGTATTAAAGCCAGACCATAAGCAAACCAGAGAGAAATTATTGTGTTACTCGGAGGGAATTACTGGCGTTGGTGAAGGGCATCAAACATTTTCACAAGTACCTTTATGGCCAGCGATTTCGGGTGAGGACAGATCATGCAGCATTAAAATGGCTTTTACAATTCAGGAACCCTGAAGGACAGTTGGCACGGTGGATTGAGAGACTCCAAAGTTACGACTTCTCTATAGAACATCGCAAAGGTAGTAGTCATGGAAATGCTGATGCCATTTCCCGCCGTCCCTGTAATCTGGATTGCAGACATAGCTCAAAAGCTGAGGCCAAAGAAGACATTATTGATGTCCGATTAATGACTATAACATCAGACTGTATAATACACGGATTGGAGATGAATAAACGTCCAACGAGAGAAGAAAAAGCTGCAGAAAGTCCAGTCGCAAAGGCTTATTGGGCACAACGGAATAGTTTGAAGTTAGCGTCTGGCTGCTTGCATCGCGTATGGGAAAGTGAAGATGGGCAAAGTTCACGAGCTTTGATGATTGTTCCAAAAGCTGCACAACGGTCCAAGTGGAGGACACATGGGTGTCACCAAAACCTTGGAGAAATTAAAACAAAGATTTTATTGGGTTGGTTGTCGTCAATCAGTTACGGAGTGGATCGCCAATTGTGTCGAGTGCATTGCTGCTAAAGGGCCGCGGTCCAGGAGTCATGGTCAGATGAAGTCAGATATGTTTTGGTAGTCATGGACTATTTCAGAAAATGGCCAGAGGTATACGCAATTCCTAACCAAGAGGCAGGATGTATTCATCAACAATTGGGTATCGAGATATGGTGTTCCAATAGAATTACATTCTGACCAAGGAAGAAATTTTGAATCAGCTCTAATACAGGAGATATGCCAGAAGCTAGGTATCCGGAAAACCCGTACAACTGCACTACACCCGCAGTCCGATGGCATGGTAGAACGATTCAATCGAACTTTGGAAGAACATTTGAGTAAAGTTGTGGACAAATATCAAAAAGATTGGGATACCCATATATCCTTGTTCCTGATGGCTTATCGGTCTGCTGTACATGAAACAACGGGGCAGACTCCAGCAAGGGTAATTTTTGGTAATGATCTTCGTCTACCGATTGATTTAAAATTTGGAATTAACGCCAACGGAGGAAGGAATACTAAGAAATTCAATAGCATCCTAGAAGACGAGATGAGGGATATACGTGCTATGGTGAGACAGCGCACCAAAATTATGAGCGATAAGATGAAAGCAAAATTCGACAAGGCAGTAAACTCTGAGGGTTTTATTGAAGACGATTGGGTATTGTTATATAACCCTTATCTTTACTTTTATTTCCAACAACTTAACACTTATTGCTCGCTATTCGAACTTACAACTTATTGCTGCATTTGCTGCACAATCCGGCAGCCCTTATATAGTAAATCTTTAACAAAACATTGCTTCGATAACATTCTGGCAACTACGAATTCGCTAACTAGTTGCTTCTGGCAGTTTATCGTTGATTCGATTTTGTTCTAGCATCCGTGTTCGTCACACTGCCCTCCACCTAAGTCTGATCGTCCCGATAAGACATATTTGCGATACCAAACACAAAGCTTTTATGTCCCCCATCTCGTCTTCTAGGCTGGTGCTGACATCGTTAGCCGTCCTTCTCTTCTTGGAGTTAATTCCATCCGTTTTCCGGATACTCAGTTTCTGGTACATTCCTTGACTTAAAGCTGACTCGAGATTCCATTTTTGATTAGAACGTAACTCCATTGGAACACCGAATCTCGTTACCCACTTGTTGATGAATGCCTCCGCCACTGGTTCAGTCTCTTGGTTAGGAATTGTGTATACTTGTGGCCATTCGTTGAAATGGTCCTTGACACCCAAAACATGACTATTTCCTAATTTATTGGTGGGGAATGGAGCCTATTTTCTCAACTGGCGCACGCGAATTGTGCTGTTTCATCTGTCCTACAATGTTCTCAGCATATTTCGCAATCCTTTCTATAGCTGATTGACAACCAGTCCAATGAAACCTTTGCTTCAAATTCTCCTAGGATTTCAAGTCTCTCAAGTGCCCTCCTCTTGGACATTTGTACTGCACGTTAAGAACATCAGGAATTCCAACCCTAGAACAACCATAAGTACTCGGAAGGTTTGCCCATTTTCGCTTTTCCATACTCGATGCAAGCAGCCATACACTAACTTTAAACTGCTCCGTTCTGCCCAATATGATTTTGTGACTGGCCTTCCTGTAGTTATTTCTCCAATCGTTGTACATTGGTTCAACTCCAATTCATGTAATGCACCTTCCTATTCTGGATCTTCTTGCAAAGAGTCATTCGTTTCAGGTTCAATTTTATGCTGATCTTCTACCTGTGATGGTATACACGCTTCTTGCTCTTCCAACTGTGAGGACACCTGCGCTGGCATGCGCCCGTTCAGTTCTTCCGACTGTGAAAACACTTGTGCTGGTATACAAGCTTATTGCTCTTCATACTGTGAAGATCCTGGTTCACATGCTTCCTCCTCTTCCAACTGTGAGGATACCTGCACTGACATATGCACGTCGAGCTCTTTCGGTGCTGACAACTGTGCTGAAAAACTCTCAAAGAAAGATTCCAACGCAGTATAAAAAACCTCTACTGAACATTTATGCCTTCCAAGGGAAACAAGGCATCTTTAAGACGCAGAAAAAATTAAGATAGGCTGTGGGTATCGACAATAATAAGAAAAAAGTAGAACTGCCGTCTAAAGCCAGCGAAGCTAGCGAAATCGCGGATATGAGAAGTAGCTGTCACAAAGTTAGGCGGCAACGTCAAAGAAGTAGGGTTACGTGGAATATGTGCGACTACGCGAGAGTTTTAAAATAAAACGAAAGGAACTTAAAATAGCAATCAGGAGAAGCAAATCTGCGAATCTGCAAATCAGCAATTCAAGAACTCTGTGACAAAAGGGATGAAAGCCCTTGGGATGGAGCGAATAAGGCAGTAATGTCAAAGGTTAGAGGTGGTAAAGGATAAATGCCGACCTGCCCGGTATTACTAAGGTTTTTCTACCCGCCGAGAACCATGAGGTAGTGCAAGCATCGCAGCGTTTCAGAAGAGAGAGAACTGGTTTGAATTTAAGCCGAATAATGGCTAAAATAGGCGAGCCTAGTCAAAGACTACTATTGGCAAAAGTAACACAATCAATAGTGATGTATGCTGCGCCTTTATGGGCTAACGCCCTAGAGCAAAAAACATTTTGCGCATAGCGACGTTGACTTTTATTTGACGCAGTTTCTAAGTGGTCTTGGTTGTTTAACAAATATGGTCATGATGATGCAAAAATGTGTTCATGTTGTGATAGTGAGAGAGAGAATGCTGAACACGTCTTTTTCCACAGTCCGAAATGTAAGACAGATAAAATAAATTTAGAAAATCAAATTTCTGAGAGACTAATGCCAGAAAATATAGTGCTACACGTGTTTCATTCATAGCAGGTGTGGAATCATGTAAACTCTTAGGCCGCAAATGTTATTGAAGAACAGCGAAGATTAGATCGAATGTAACATAGCGTGACAAACAATCAAAACCAGTTAGTAAATCGCTGAGACGATCAAGCAGATAGGCTTAGCTAGCCCTGCGATATAATATTTAACGGTAGTCCCGCAGGGCAATCAAAACTTCGAATTATTTTTTGATAACAGGTTTTTTAGTGGGTTAAAGTCGCACACTCCTTTTGTAAAGGCAACAGTGTCTTTCGATAAAGAAAAAAAACACAGCAAACAGCAAAAAGTGTGGTGACGCGACCTTGAAAAATTACTCTGATGCGGTCAAAGAAGTATTCACTTCAAAAACATATCGGAGTACATATATTTACATACGTACATTCTTTGACAAATACAGTCAATCTTGGTTAAGTGTCACAACCAAAGATCCCGCGTTTTGTGATTTGTTAAAAATACAAATAAAGTATGGTACATAAGAGAGTGGTACTTAAAAGAATAATTTCCATGCTTTTAAAAAGAAGCGTGAGATGCAGCAAGACACAGGCAGATAAGGGGGATTGGCACTTAAGCGAAGTGGTACTTAACCAGGATTGACTGTATACATAAATCAGAGGAATATTGAATATTTTCTTTAAAAAGTTTTTTGACTTGCAAATTGACCTGTTGTTATTTTTATTCTAAAATATTTAAATACTTATATTTTTTGAGTTGTCACTTTTCCCTTCTAGAGGGAACATCAGAAAATTGTTCAGTTTACAATTTTTCGCGGAGATATGTATCTGCCGTCCTTAAAAAAAAGCGTCGAGTGGCGCGTTTTTTACCGCTCAGGGTTAACGCCGACGCGGCATCCCTAAATAAAGCGGCAACTTTACGTCAAGTTCTCACTTAAATTCTAAAATTAGTACAAAAGAAATCAAATGTAAAACGAATTAATTTATTTATATTACTTACATCCTTTTGTACAAACATTAAACATCGCGTGTTATGAAGTTTTTCAGAAAAGTAACAATTTCTTCGCTTTTTTCAGCCAATTTCACTTTTTAACGCTCTGTCAAAATCGAATTTTTCAACGCTTAGCGTTTTCGCCGCGTTTATTTAGGTAAGCGCCATACAAAATCTATGGGCATGAGGAATGTTTGACAGTAATTTACCACTGCCGCTTTTATTTAGGGACGGCAGTATGGCGTTTGGTTTTATGAATGAAAATGTTGTTGTTGTGCGATTTACTATAAATTTGGGCTTGGGTAATTTGGCTGCCATATCGACTTGTGAGGCTACTTGAGATGATTGTTGTTTTTGTAGAACAATTTTTGTAGTTTCTGCGGTGACATATTTATATGTGTAAATCAACTGGATAGGGAAGGATTAAAAAATTTAATTTATCCGCGAACGCGTTTATTTATACAGCCGAGTTCGTCCTCTTTTTTGATAAATTATTAAATTTTTTTAAAGTAATGTTTTTGGAGCAGTAAGGAATTTTAAAGAACCCTTTTCGGCAACTGCGGTGCAATTAAAATTTCTTAAAGAAGCCGAGGAGCTTCTTGACTCCATAAAAGTGCACAGTTTTTTCGGTCACAAAACAACAAACACTTTTAGCTTTATAAAAAGTCGGCTTTTTAATATAAGTAGCTTAAGACCTTTGTGGCGCTTCTGGTCAAATAAGAGATTCACACATTTAATGACTAGAAAACTGACTCAGGACAGACTGGAGAATTTTTTTGGACATATACGCAGAGGGGGGGTTTGTATTTTCAGAAAAGTCTGGGGATATATAAGATGTGTAGATAAATAAAATTGCGAACTCTTGCCAGTTGACCAGTGTGAGTCATTTTGTAATAGCTCCTTCCAAAACGCCTGTAACGACGCTTTGGTTAAAGCACCTCTTGGCAAACTTTTCAAGGTTTTCCAATTCTACTTCATTTCAAAATATACCAATCGAGGTAAATGTAGATGTAGACGAAACAGCTTTCTACATAAAACTGCTTTTGTATATTTCTGCGGTTACTTGTATTACAAATATTTAAAAACAAAACCTGATTGTTTAATGCCTTTGCCAATATTTGATGATGGTATTACTGAAGAAGAATTCTTCTTCACTACTGAAAAGCAATGTAGCCAAATAGTAAAACCACCCACATTTTGATTCAACTTGCCACAGGATCGGTCGGAAAGGGTGAACGTAGAACCATAATATTGTTGTGAAAATTGTAATTCCGATATTATAAAATGTTTATTCATTAGAATTAGAACATATTTCCTAGTAAATGCTTTTAACAAAAAAGTGAAACAAAATGATTTCAAAAACCTACCCTTACCTGGATCTATGATTTTGAAATAAGAATTTTTGTAATTAGGTTTGTACGCTTATTATTACGTATTTTTTTTGTTCGCTAAGTGTTTTCGTGTACCGAGTATAGGACCCTTTTCTCCACCACTATTACTTTGATAGGGGTTTTTAATTAGTATTTCGCTGTGAGTGATTTGGAATATTTTCTCAATATTATTTATTACTTAGTAGATTGTTTTGTTTATTATTATTGTTTTTCCTGAATTTTATTCAATTATTTTTGTTTTTGTTAAAATTAATACAAGTAGATTGTTTTCACATATATTTATTTGTTTATGAATACAATTGATTTGTACCTGATTTTTATATATTTATTTCCGTTTTTGTTTAAATCAAGTTGTATATTTCAACTTATATTGTTAATGTAATTAATATACATTAAACTGATTATATTTGTTACGAAAATTAGATTGTGTTAGAACTGTATATATTATATGGGTGAATATAGGGCTTTTGGGGAACCGAACATCCAAAAAAGATCGGTAACGCACCTATATTGCAACCTCAGTGGTGGTGAGGAAAAGCAATAAATATATAATAACCTTTCGTTTCGAAAATATTCTTGAAAGTTTTCATTAATATTCTCGATTATAAAAACATGTTCACAAACAAGTTGTTAAACTGCATTCTTTTTGTTTACATTTCTGTGTCAAAAGGCAGATTCGATCATGTGATCTCAGCTGTGTCACACACATAGGAAAACAGCTGATTTTTGGTTATCTGTTGGTCTATACAATGTTGCAGACTGATTTCATTGTCGCTTTGTCCCATCGCAAAGGCTCAGTTCAGTGATGCCAACTTGGGGGATTTTACCCTAAATTTTTAATTAAAAATTTACTGAATATACTGAAGCAAAGTACCAGAAAAGTGTACAATGAAAATTTAAAGTTGTGCTATAGATACAGATTCACGCATCTATATTGTAGTCTACGTCACTCAGTGGAATTTACTATTGAAATGTTGAAAAGTTCTGAGTCTAGTAAGAAACAAGTTTTATATTTTAAACACTGCACAATAACTCACGATTTATATTAACATAAATAATGAGCTTTAAGGAAAAAAAATTTTCAAAAATATTCCAAAGAATGGGGAAAAAATGATAGGTTGAAAGGTTCGTTTTTTATAATTTTAATAATTTCTTTTCTATTTCTACTTCAATATGATATATTTAATTTGATTTTCAAAGAGTTTTTGTTTATGAATAGAACTTTTTTTCAATATTCTTGTAGATTAGTTATATCCTGATCCTACTCGTGATAGTACGAAGGCGTTTTGTAAATATCTGTTTATGCAGCGCATAAAAAAGATTTAATAAAGCACACTTGAGTGTCGTCCGTTGCCAGTTATAAAACCTCCAGACACTAAAGTTAAGGAACTTCAGCTTGCAGCAGAACACACATCGATTGTTACAATTGATCACGAGTTATTAAAAAAAATTGACCTTGATTCGGCAATTTTTGGTAACATGATATTGCATCGGACAAAGTGCGCTGCTCTCATTAAAAATAGTTTAGGTCCGTGCATGCTTGAAGACTTAATAAATGATATGAAGGAGGCTCCCTTCTCACTTATTGTTGATGAAAGCACAGATGTACTAACTGAGAAAGTTTTGTGCATAATGATGCGTTATTTTTTTTTTAAGAAAAAGACATTAATAACAACATTCTATCGTATTGTGAAAATAGTTGATGCTACTGCCAATGGTATTTACAAAGCTTTAAAACTGCAGGCTTTCTTTGAAAAATTTAGTTGGGATTGGAGTCGGTGGTGCTAATGTGGTGGTGCGTGTAAATCACTCTGTTTCATCGCTGTTAAAATAAGAACTTCCTGATGTTATAATTATTAAATGTATCTGCTACTCTCTACACTGCTTCGTCAACTGGAATATCTTGTCAGGGAAGTTCACAATTGGTTTTCCAACAGTCCAAAACGCAAAGACGAACATAGATTACTTTACAATGTTATGAATGAAGCTAAGGATCCGAAACAAATTGCTGGTTTGAGCGGGACACGATGGCTTGCAAGATATTCAGCTAATAATACTATTTTGGAGCAGGGAGATAATTTAAAACTGCTCTTTGAACTAGCTAAAAGTAACGACAAATGTTTACAAGCGCAGTACTTATACGACATAATTGTTTGTCCGGCGTATAAACTATTTATGGGTTTTTTGCACTCTAATTTAGAACTATTGACTAATTTAAATAAACTGTTTCAAAGTACTACAATATAGAGATATTTATATATGTAATATAGAGATATTTAAACTGCTTGAAGACTTATTTTTTTGTATTAGAGTATTCTACAAAAAATTGTTGTTCTAACTCAACTACAAAAAAATAAAGATGACGATTTAGTTACATTCCAGTTTCAAAATTATCTGATTTATACATCATCAATTTTTTTAGGTTACAACTTTGATCAGGCAGCAAAATCAATTCCACTAAATGAAATATCCAATATTCGAGATCGGTGTAAAAAATTGTTAGCAAAATTATGTACTGAAAGTCAGGAACCTGTTAATATTGCAATCTTAAAATCAATTAATGGTCTTACACCGTTATACGCTACATCACAAAGGAAACCTGATATAGTGAAATTGTTGGAGCAATTTATAAGATAACCATTGTACGGATCGAAATATTACATTATGAAAGAGTGGAACATGATATCCAATAAACAATGGGAAAATACCAAAGAAACAGTTCCATTTTGGTCGAATGTTAATGAAGATCTTGATTCAGGTGGATTCAGGATTTAAAAATGTTGCCAAACTTGCTTTAGCACTGATAACTATTCCTATTTTAGATGCTGTTGTCGAGAGAGTATTTTTAATATATACTGTGAAAAAAAATAAGTTAAGGAACAAATTAGCATTAGATATGGTTCAGAGTATAATGATGTTTAAATTTTCTTTGCAACGAAATTACAAACAATGTACTTTATTTGTACCTACAAAAGAAATGCTGAGCATGTTTACTGTTCACATGTATGATCTTAAAAATGACTGTGAAAAAGTAAGTGATTCGGAGTTTCGGAGGAATTACTCGCTTTAACAAACGTAATACTCGTATAGTTAATTTAATCGTTGAAATGTGTGAATGTAGATAATATGAACAGATTAATATATATTAATTTATTATTAAAAATATTAGTAAAGTAAATATAATATGATATAATATATAATATAAATAACAAGACGAATGCTAAACAAAATAAGTAATTTTCTATTTTAAAGCCTTTTGAAAAATAAAAATTAATGAAAAAAAATATTCCTACACATCTTTGTTATTTAAATAATTATTATTTTAACTATTTAATTATTTAATAATTCTTAATTATTTAATTTATTTTAATTATTTCGATTTTAGCTTGTTCTTAATAGTTTAAACTATACTAATGCTATCTTAGAATCTGATCTCTGCGCCATCTACCAGGCAAATATACTTTTGAATATCTGTCACGATTGCAGCGAAGTCTGCCGGAATTCTATGTAAAACGTTCTAACATCTGCGATGGTAGCGCAGTCTACCGGATCCCATGTAAAACATTCCAAAATTAAGAACTACTTATAAATGAAAAATTAGTTAAATACAAATTTTACCAGTGGATCAAATTGTGAATCTAATCCATCCTCGAGTCCCTTTGAACTCACACAAAAAATTTCATCAAAATCGGTCCAGCCGTCTAGAAGGAGTTCAGTGACATACACACGCACACAAGATATATAAGTATATAAAGATTTTTATTGTTGCTGTTGTCATTGCTTCGGGGCCAATCAAGAGCAGGGAGTTTCTTTCGTTTATGTTAGGATGTTAATGTCGTAAAAACCTTCACGTTTAAATAACACCTGCAGGGAGTTTATTCCGTTTTAGTGGTTCGGGTATTTACTATTAAATAAATATTTTCATGTTATTAAAAAAAAAGAAATAATACTCTTCACAAAGTTTCATACAATAACTTAATTGTCATCGGTCAGTTTGTATGGCAGCTATATGCTATAGCGATCGGATCTAAACAGTTTCTTCGTAAATTGTACCGTGGCTTTAGCCAATAATCCATGCCAAATTTTATAATGGTATCTTGTCAAATAAAAAAGTTTATTCTACAATATACAACGACATGAATTTCATAGTTTATTTTGTATGACAGCTAACGGGTGATCCAACTAGAGGTACTTTGTATAATATTCTTTGGCATTTCATCATGGAAAGACCTAGATCTGAACAACGTTAACAAATCGTTCAACTTTATTACGAAAACTCACGTTCTATAAAGAATGAAGTCTAGGAGGAGTTCAGTGACATACACACGCACACTAACTTTTATTCACATATATTTTTAATTTATGTTGTAGGTACCTCTTTCACGGAACTCCTTTTGAACTTGTTGCCTCTATGCATAAATTAGACAAAACAAGAGTGCGGAATATCGTACTTGAAACGTTCGAAATACTTTGGTCAAAATTGTCCACAATACAAGCACATTGCTGCTGATTTTTTAAAACTATGGAATCTACCAAATCGTGTTGGAGTGATTGACGGGAAGCATATAGCTATTATTCGTCAACAAAACTCAGGCACGTTGTTTTATAACTATACAAGGTTCTATAGTATAGTTTTAATGGCAGCCTGTGATGCTAGGTATACGTTTACATCTGACAGCATTGGTAGCTATGCCGGACAAAGTGACGGAGGTAACACTAAGTGATTTAAAACATTTTAATATTTACTTATTTTAATTTTATTTCAAGGCATTTTTCAGCAAATTACGTTTGGGAAAGCACTCCTGGAAAACAGATTGCCACTACCACCAAGAACTCCTTTATGGAATGAATCCACAGCACATTTTCCACATTTTTTGTAGTTAACGCAGCGTTTCCATTGAAGGAAAACTTAATGCGACCTTATCCCGGCTTACAGCTACCACGAAAAAAAGCAATTTACCAGTTTTCACGAGCTCTTCGAGTAATAAAAACTTGCTTTGGTGCTGGGTTCTGCACAATTTGTAATTCTGAATGATCATAATCGTTGGTATTGTCCAGACACATTTGTAGACACAGATAGCGCAGAGCACGGAATACTGCAAGCAGAATGGCGTGAAGATTTGGAGGTGCATTACTTTCAATAAATACATCTCGACGCATGCATCTATTGTAATACTAATAGCTCATTGCGTTTAAGGGACTTTTTGGCAGAGTATTTTGTAAACCAACGAGCGGTGTCATTTCAAGAAAATCATGTATACGCTAAGTAGTTTTTTTTGTTTTTTTTTTGTTGTTTTTAAATTTAATTTCAACCTAAGATTATAATAAAAAACATGCGGTGTATTTTTTGAATTTACAATGTATACATTATATATATTTTCGTTAATTTTAATAAAACTATAGATTATTCTATAACTTAAACCATCTGTACATTTATTTATTAAATTGCACTTAATATAAATATATATTATATATATAGCTCTGAACCATTCCTCGAAGTTACTTCAAGAATGTTTTCAGCCGCTACAACAACAAACATAACTATGTATATAAAAAAATAAAAAGGATACATGATTCAAAAGCATTCATTGTTATATATGTAAATATAAGTATAATTTCAATAACAAATTTTTAAAGCTATTATTAAAAATTAATTAATATAGATATCTGCTCTGGAGGTACATATGAACAAAGTAATTCAGTTAATAAACATATATGAATATATATGTATGTAAATATATATGTAGGTACAATTACATAGGACCAAAGTAAATCATGTAATATATATGAATAAGCAGCGAGACGGTGCAAGCATTCGGCAAAATGTTAACAGACGTTAAAAAAGAACACACGATCAGACATGGCTAAATTCAAATTCCTCTAGCTCCGCTTCTATGGCCATTAAATTATTGCTGAGCACCTGTGTGGCTTTCATCTGCTTACCTTAGCTCATATCAGTCATTATATATGTATGAGTTTCACCAACATTTTGTCGGATGCTTGCACCGTCTCGCTGCCTTTTTGAGAAGCCCGCTCCTTACACGCTTTTTTGTATAATTCAACGGCTTCTTTAAAACTGTCGTCAACGTCGCTGTTTGTCTTCCTTCGTTTTCTCCTTACTCCTTTACGCCGACAACTCCGGCGGCGACTGCATCAACTGCGGAGACTCCTCTGCATCAACCAACAGCGAATTTCGACGAGTTTTGAAAATCAAATATATTTGATGTGCAGCGATTTCTATAAAATAATATATATAAATAAATATGTCTATAATACTTTACATGTAAATAAATATGAACTTACGGTCTAGCCTTTACAAACGGTTTTAAGAAGTCTATATTTTTCAGCAATGGCCAAGTGTCGTAATGAGCGCCGCACTGCCGAAAGAGGACTCAACCATTCGTATTTCCTTAATAAACCTGTTTCTCCTAGCCCTCGGGCGATGTTTGCCCATGTAGCCTTCTTTTTATCCGGCAACCATCATGATTATATTATATGTACATATACATATATAAGTGATAAAATCATGATTTAAATTTCTGAATGCGTACATACATTCATATGTGCATGATGCATGTGTTTACATTAGTATATAAGATTAATATGATAAAAGATGTACATATCTATCTTTTCTAATAAATTAAATCTCTGCAAATAACAATTGCAATACCAAATATTTATTAGGAAAGTATATTATGTAAAAATCATATAAAATTATTAAATGTACAAGTCCAAATTGACTATAAATATTATTTTAAAAATTACATAGTTTAATTAGAGTGTTGTTTTTAGAGATACACATTTTCTGAATTTCCGTAAGACATCTTACATGCTGTCTGGTATATACGCTGTAAAATCAACCGGAGGTTCAAAAATGTTTATGTTAAGTATGTGGGGTGTAATGTAAGATTAAACCTGTTTTGAGTCAAGGGTACACTATTCTGATCAAAAGATTCTCTTTGAATTTCAATAATAAATTTCTGAGTTTTACCGATATTTTCAACCACAGGCACTGAGGTCCACATATTCTGTATCTGGGAACTTGAAATGATGAAAGGTGAGATCACATACCTTAAATTAACTTTATATGCCTAAATTTTATTGCGATCATATCATTGGCTTTCGATGGCACTGACATAAACTATAGTATATCCCATATTATACTTTCATTTAATTTTGCTAAAATATCTTACATATCGACCAATATAAACAGTATAAAGCCAACAGGAAGTTTGCAATTCTTACATAATTATTTTTTGTTAACATACCTTTAGAACATTTAACACAAAGACGTTCGTTCGATACGAAATGTTTTATTGAAGTGAACAAAAAACTGTACTTAGTATGTAAAAATAACAATGAAAAGAGTAACAGGTGTAATACATAAGAAACTTAATTATGTACATATACATGGTATTTGGTTTGCCCTTTTAGTGATGTCAACTATAACTAACAAGGTATATAAGGGCTATGGAATATTTTGTTCCGATTTTCTCCAAACCTCATATTGATAACTGCATTGATGTTTAATTTGTTTACTCTGAAGTAGAAAAATCAGATTAAATTTAAAAGTTTGTTATATACCTGTATAAACTAGGCGTTTCCGATTTCGCCCATTTTCACAGCGTGTGATAGAAATATTTGGATAACCTTACTAATCAAATTTGGTTGAAATTGGTCAAGTAGTTTTTAAGATATAGGATTTCCCCCAAAGGTGGACGGTGCACCTGCTCCCGTAAAACCCTTCCCTGGCATCTTGGTTGTAAAATTTCATGCATTTATTCAGTGAGATATCGCAGTTTTTAACACAACCGTTTATGGGGTTTTGATATTTTTACCATATGGGGTTTGGATGATTTTACCCATTTTCACAGCGTATGAAGAAATGCTTAAAATAATTTAGCAGCGGTTTGGGAGATATGTACATTAAACCATTTAGGGGACGATGACACGGCCACTTTAAAAAAATTGACATAGGTGTCCCTTGATCTGCTGTACCAAATTACAGTTTTGTATCTTAATTTAGTACTTAGTTATGACACATTATGTATGTATTTTCGCTTAACGGCTGTTTGGGTGCCAAGGAATATGTACCAAGTTTCATCATGATGTCTAAATTTTGCTCAAGTTATCGCTTGCACGGACAGACAGACAGTCACTCGGAATCCAACTCTTTTCGTAACCAAGATCTTTTTTATATTACATTGTAACGAAATTCTCGATAAATCGTCTACCTGTAACTCACTCTTGAGTTCGATCACTGGATTGTTAAATAAAAGTCCCAATTTAATGGCTACACACTTATCTTTATTTTTTATTCCAACAACTTAACACTTATTGCTCGTTATTCGAGCTTACAACTTCTTGCTTATAGCTTAATTGCTCTTATCACGACAACACTCTAACTAGAACTGTGTCTGCTGCACAAACCGGCAGCCCTTATATAGTAAATCTGTAACAAAATCATGCTTCGGTTCGTACGTATTGCTGAACCAAAATCATGTCTTCAATCAGTTATAGTAAATAGAATCCAGCAACAGAGAATCTTCTTCTCGACGCACCTGCAGACCGGAAAACGTTTTACTCACATTTGCCGTCATAAATAACCAAAACATATATATAATGGGAGGAATGGCGGTTTAAGTTAAATTCAGTTTGAAAACGAATATGAGGGTAAATCTTTATAATGACGTAGATTCCGGACTTAATGAAAAATGTTGTTGAAAATCGGTGACGGTTGTTTGAACGACGACGATGGTTATATTTCACTTCCAAGAGACTTTTAATTTAGTGAACACGATGTTGATCTCATTTCTCATGATTTTCAGATTCCAACAAAATTTGAGTAGTGATAAGTGGTTGTGCGCCACAGCAATATTCGCGTCAACAAATGGGGTGGTTAATAAAGAAAACACCGATATTTTGAAAGAATATCAATGAGAAATGAAAGTGTATTTGTCAATGGATACAATCATCATCAATGGAAACAAATATCTTGTGGAGTTTTTAAATTCACTTGAACTATCAGGTGCACCGTCACATAAATTGATACAAATGTATTAATAATACTTATGAGTAATCTAGATGAT